GTGGCTCCTGCCTCCCTCCCTTGCTGCCTCTGATACTGAGACAGCAAGGGGGGTGCACGTAGTTGTTAGAATTAACTGATAAGCCCACGCTAACATCCCGACTATATACTCAAGCAGCTAGCCCGTGCTATCGGTACCTGATTAAAACTGCCTTTGATGGATCTATATATGCTGCAATCACACCTCAAAAGCAGCGAAGATGTAATTGAAGTGACTCCCGAGGTATCCTCTGATACTGAGACAGCAAGGGGGGTGCACGTAGTTGTTAGAATTAACTGATAAGCCCACGCTAACATCCCGACTATATACTCAAGCAGCTAGCCCGTGCTATCGGTACCTGATTAAAACTGCCTTTGATGGATCTATATATGCTGCAATCACACCTCAAAAGCAGCGAAGATGTAATTGAAGTGACTCCCGAGGTATCACTGGGAGTCCGTGGCAGAGACAGAGGATGAATCCAGATCTCCTGCATTCTAGTCCACTGCCTTTACCAGAAGCCCAGCCTTCCTCTAAAATATCATTCTGGCCCCACCTGATTATGTAATTACAAATAGGCTGAAAACTAAGCCCCAAATAAATTGATTAGAAGGGAGGCACGGTTGTCATATGCAGGTGGAAAGGAAAATATTGGCTGTTTACCTAAGTGAGTCTCCATTTCCAAACACGGGAGAATTGAACATCTTTAGAAATCAATACAAAGCCACTTCCGCGTAAAACATGAGAGAATTGATTCTTGACTTGTCTCTGTGTGTGCACGTGGCGGGCGGGGTGGGGAGGGGGGAAGTGGCTTCAGAGGGAGGGACTCAACGAAATTCAAAGCAGAGGTAAAATCCTTAAAACCCAACTCCTGCTTCCCACCCCAATGAGGTGTCTGAGAATTGATATAATTTGGCATGAAAATGGGTTCTATTTTTTTGTGACTGCCTCTCAGATAACCAACAAAAGCTTTATTAAAAGGCTTCAGAGTGGGAGTTAAGTGCTGTCTGCAATAAATGATGATTAAGACAGCAGCAGGTTTTATTATATCCCTCTTCCCCCCACCGTCACTTGTTGAAGTTTCACTAGCTGCCTCTGAGGACCTAGTTTATGATAGGGCTGATTTTGCTGTGGGGTGGGAATTCTATATTTTTTCCTGCCTGCAAAAGCTTTATTAAAAGGCTTCAGAGTGGGAGTTAAGTGCTGTCTGCAATAAATGATGATTAAGACAGCAGCAGGTTTTATTATATCCCTCTTCCCCCCACCGTCACTTGTTGAAGTTTCACTAGCTGCCTCTGAGGACCTAGTTTATGATAGGGCTGATTTTGCTGTGGGGTGGGAATTCTATATTTTTTCCTGCCTGCCCTGATGCAGGTGAATTCAAATACATGTGTCCTCAGTAGGGATGTGAACAGGTAACCAGTTAACCAGGCCATGGACGGAGGGCTGCCCACTTAGGTATTCCACTTAGTTGGTTAACCAGTGAAATGTTAGGTTAAGATAATGTTTAACCAGTTAACTGATTAATTGGGATTTTATATCCCTAGTCCTCATCAGCTATTTGAAGTGATCAATTCTGAACAACCCTTGCTTCTCTGCTTCATCTTTGTCGCACCCGATCCAAAACCTTCTGACATTTTTCATTGAATTAAATGGATTTTGAATCAATCCCTTTAGACCATGATCTTGCAAAGACTTTTATGCAAGTGCTTAACTTAACATTGACTTGAATGGGACTACACACGAGCATGCAGTTACATGCCTCTGTAAATCTTTGTACATGGCTAGTTTTTTTCTGGGATTATAATAAGTTCAGGGCATTGGTGGACACATCTCCTTTATACAGCTAGCTGCCTGACTAAATAAAGTCTGGGAGACAGGAATTTGTATAAAAAGATAAATTGTATGTTCTCTTTGGAGATGATTTGTGGAAATAAAAATATGTGATCATGTAATTAGAGATTGCATAAAATTGTGTGTATGGAAGAGGGCAGAGTTAAGGTTATACAGGCAACCTTAAGCATGGTACTTTTAGATGATGATCACTTTGAATAACTAAATATGGGAGAGCTGAAGTCATGATAAAGAGCATATCAGAGAGTGTGCAGAGGATGGGTAGTATCTGCTCCCTTCTATTCTCTCCTCCTAATGGTTGCACTTGTGATCCCCATGTGAGTCTTATGAAATTGTGCAAAATACATGTCCTGCACTAGAAGTATCTGCTGATCAATTGTACTGGAATCTCTGCTCCTAATACAGTGTCCCCAACCACAAAGCAGCAGTATCATATGCCATTGCATTTAGGGACCAGGACCATATGTGCTCTTCCTGCTGGCAAATGGTTGTAGATATAAAGTATGATGTTCTCTTTCATTGAATGCAATGCACCCCCAGGGGAACTGCCAGCTCCAATATACGTAGCACTGGGAGACAAAGTAAAAGTCGGAAGGATGTTGGGGGAAAGTAGATGGTGGTGAAGCCAGGCAGATGAGTGAGAGAGAGGCACTTACTCCCTTGCCTTATACACTTAGCATCTATGAAAAAATTCATGCACAAATTGTGTAGACATGGTCTCCATCCCTTACTCAGAAGTTCAGCCTGGGCTCAGTCAATCTGACAGTGTAGCAAGGGACATTGTCACATGGACGAGCTGCCCTTGACTGACTGCTAAGATGTAGCAGGCAAAGAAGATGGGTTTTAAAAAATACTTCTCTTCTGCATCAGATTTTGTGTGTTCCTTTTTCAAGTCTATTAGGTCCTGAGCAAACATACTTTTGTGGACTTTGCCAGGAAAACCCCATGTTCTGTTAATGATTGACCTCCTCCCCCGTTACAGGGTTCCTAGGTATCACAGGATCATATTTCAGCCACATGTCCCTATCGAGACTCTAATGTCACAGGACAATTATTAGAGTTTATGGCTGGTTTCCCCATTTTTCCTCTATTGTGGAGTAAGGATGGTTTGTGAAGATCTGAGGATTGAAGGGAAGCACCCTTGTCCTTTCACTGAAATCCCCAAGATGAACCTTTGTCCAGTTTTGCTTGACTGAACACTTTTCTCGGCACATGGGGATGTGAAGACAACGGGCTTCAAGATGACCATTGCAGAGAATCATAGAACACTAGAACTGGAAGGGACCTCAAGAAGTCATCAAGTCCAGTCCTCTGCTGAGTTTGCTGAGTCGATGCATTCATACCACCATATTTCCAATCCGCTCTTATGAACGATTTGTTAGCAGATGCTGCCTCTGTGTGCCAAAATAACACAGAGGGTACGTCGACACTGCAACACTATTTCGAAATAACTAGTGCTATTCTAAAATAACTTAGTCCACATCTACACAGCAGGCAGCTATTTCAAAATTGTGTCAAAATACTGTCAAGCTGGAGGACTTCTTATTCTGACTCCCATAACCTCATTGTACAAGGAGAAAGGGGAGTCGGAGGAAAAGTGCTCTATTTCGAAATAAGTGCTGTGTGGACACTCCCTATTTTGAAATAAGCTACGCCATTGCCGTAGCTCAGTTTGTGTCGCGTATTTCGAGGTAAGCCCTGCAGTGTAGACGCACCCAGAAACAAGCCATTTGTTGACTGACAGAGGCATACATTTGCCCATCCTCCTCCATATTCCCTCAGGAAAGAGAATCTCTCGTGTCCATTGCTGATATCCAAATTCAAAGAAATACATCATTGCTCAAAGGCTGCCCAATGGTTTGCACATTTGGGATTTGGGTGTTCTTTGGGGGAAGGACCAGCACAGGCAGCCCCTTGTCTTTATGCTCATAAGAACCTTGGGAAATAAGACAAGTACTTAGTATCCCATGAATGAATGCACTTCCGGATGAAAGATGGATGGCTCTGATTCCTCTATTATTAACAGAGCATTCCTCTTCTTCATGCATTAAGACTAGACTGGATAAAGACTTTGAAAGCACACCACAGGGAATATGTCTACCCCATAGGGAACAATTCTACCCCATCTAGGAAGGGTTGGATTAGATGATCTAATAAGTTTATTATAACTAAGCTATTGCCTCTAAAGGAAAAGCGATATAGAATCCTAGCTGCCTTTGGCTAGTTGCTTATAGTTTAGTCTTGAAGAAGGTGAACATTTTTGCCTGTTCTCTTAGGGCACACGCCATAAACCAAAGCACTGGTTTTTAGTTCCTCTTGCAGTTAATGTGTTCCAAGTGAATTAGCTGAGCCTGTGTTTTTTTCTAATGTGAGAATTAAACCAGCATGACTGGTAAGTAATATGGGAGGATGGAAGTGGTGGGGAAGGAGGAGGGAGGAGACCTGCTTTTTTATCTCCATGGTAACGTACTTTGAAAAGGAAAGGTGTTGGTGCTGATGCTCTATGCTAGATCATTTAGAGTCTACTTAATAAAAAAAAGCAGGAACAGGGAATATGACTTATGCTGTACATAGCAGACTAAAGGGGCTACATTTTACAGCAGCCGTTCGCAGACACGGCTCAGTACACTTCTAGAAAAAGTAACAGATTTATTCATGAGGCATATTTTAAACACAACACAACGAGCTAGGTTCTGGCATTATGCCAACTTATCCTGGCTGAGAATTTGTCCCAGTTCATAAAAGATTTAATGTTTTAGAATTTTTTTTTGCGATGTAACAAATAACCCCCCCCAAAACTCTCAGATTTTACGGATGCTTTAATTAAGTCGACCATATTGAGGTTCTTATAAAGTCTGAATTTTACCCTTAACTATACAAAGTATTTTCATAAACCCTTCACTGTGGTGAATAACGAAGTTATTTTAGTTGCAACATTAGATTCCAACCATTACAAATAAAATCCCGGTTCCTTTTAATGTTCTTAAAATTCATGTAATCCCTGGCAGCAATCAGGAAATGACATTCTGTGGGGAGAAAAAGATACCTTTACATTTAGTCTGAGAACCATTGGTTAATGCTGGTGATGCGAATTGACAACCACAGTGTCACCCGATCCAAAACCCCATGGAAACTTAGTTTTACTTAGACCACAGGTTTGGATTTTGTTTTCTAGCAAAGAATTACAAAAAACGGGTAATTAATTACACCCACCTTTCAGTAATCTTTGTTTCCCAGCATAAAATCAATGATGCTTTGAATGCCCTCTGCCTTCGTAAAACACACAGTGTACATGCTCTCTCTCACACACACAAATCCTCTTTGTTCCGCAAAAAACGTAACAAGCAATAGCAGAGGAGAAACCTGAAAGCTTTCCTTAGTCCCAGTGCCACGCAGATCCGTTGCTCGCAGGTATCATCCGGCAAATTACAGACCTTGAGGCAAAGGCTCAGTATGTTACTTCGGCATCTGCTCTGGTTTCATGCTAACTTTCAAGTGTCGAAGAGAAGCTCCCGAGTTCAGTTCTTTTGGGGGTAATGAGGGGTGTGTGTGGTGATGGTGATGGTGAAATGCAGGCATGACATATAGTCAAGAGCTGATGACCACATCTGAGGCTGGTACAATTTTAAGTGATTTAATTGACTCGGAAATGCCACCCTTCTGTGTGCCGGCAGCTTAGCAACCCGGAGCAGAAGAGCAGCGGCAGAATCAGAGGCTGTAGTCAGTTAGGAAGGGGAGGCAGGTGACTTGAAGGTCGCAGGAGTAAGAGAAGTCACCTGATTCAGGCAAGAGCTTTACCTATGAGGCAGGAGTAACAAGGCAGAGGAGTGAGAGAGAGGGAGAGGAAGAGAAGTGTGTGTGGCAGTGAGAGGAGAGGGAGGTTTGCACTTTTCTAAGCAGGTCTCTTGCCAAGGGTTGGGAATATTGGCAGCAGAGTCTGTGGAAGTGTCACCTTAACTATGTCACAGCCGGCTGACAGGATGCATTCTAAAAGGGCAGGGATCCGAGCAGCTGTTGTACTGATAGGGTTGTTGCACAAATCCAGAAAGCAAAATAAAGAAAAAAGGTAAAGCACAAGTTTATTTAGTTTTTTTTCTCTTTATTAAAGAAAAAGAACCACCATTGCCACTACTTCGGGATTGAAATGTTAGCTGGGATCTGGGGAGGGAGGGGAATTGTGGAGCCCGAGCTCTGTCTATATTGTATCCATGATTGTATTTCAGAGATCATATATTAACAGGAATGTGTATTTGTATGTGCTGACAGTGCTTTTCCAAAACAAAACAATAGGCATCGTGATAACATAAATATGCTCCAAACCCTTTCATAACTGCTAAAGATTTATGTGTGTATATTTAGAGCAAGAGAGAAACGAGACTCCGTCAGCCCCTCTAAGTTTACCTCTTGACCCTAAACAATATAATTTTTTTCCTGTATAAAACCAAGACAGATTGTTTTCTTCCTGGGATGGCAGTGTTTTGTAAACCTGATTTGACTCAGATTAACAGCTTTGTCTCTTTCCCGAAAAAAAAAAAAACCAACAGTGGGCAATTGGTTTTCAGATTCATTGACTATGTCATGGACCGTACTTTATGTTCAACTTTGTGGTTTGGGGAAACAGTGTTTTGAATGGTATGTTAGCTGTCGTCTGATAGATGTAGCTGCTGAATTATCAGCATGTAAATGGGAGTTTCTGTTTTCTTCAAAGGTTTGCAATGATTTGATTTATGGCTTTATTCGGAGAGCTCAGTGATTTGATTTATGGCTTTATTCGGAGAGCTCTGTCTCCTTATGCAGCTTGTTCTGGCAACTTACTTGTTAAAATTATAAGATGTGCACCCAAATCTATGCAATGTGTATAATTTTAGACGAAAGTGGATAGCAAGACGATTGTCACTTTAACTTAGTATTCTCCATAGCATTTTAATTTTTTAAAATTTTCATATAGAAAATGACATGGGGGTAGAAGAGAACCATTTGGGACTATCTCAGACACAGTAGACAGCAGGTTGACTTAGGGACAGAGTTTGGCTTTTGTGGATTTTAAGGTAGCCTCTATGTATTGCTGAACATTTTTCCCATTCCTGGAGGCTTTGCTGGGTATAACTTTAAAACAGTAGTGACAACATAAGTGACTTGGTGCTCTTGGCACCTCTACTGGGTCTGGAAATTACCAAGATGTGCTCATGCTTGAACTGAGTCATCTTAGTGCCATAATGTTTCTCTTTCTTCAGTCTGTCCTCTCCCTGCTGGCTTGTTATCTGCACGCATCCCTTCAAAAACTGGGGCTCATGTGTTCCTGGTAGTGGGTGCTTGCAGGATGGAGGCTGTAGATTGTAACCTTTGGAGGGCATTCTTTTCTCTTTGAGATACGTTGCATCCCTTTTGGCACTGACACAATAACAATAGGTGCCTCCATAACTTCATGGAACAGTCTCATAGAATTACAGAGCGGTCCCCTTTCTGCAGGTTGGTTTGTTAAAACCCTTCCACAGAATGCAACAGAGGACTCTAGCCCTGCTATGGTGGGGTTAAAACCAGACTATAAAAACTCATTCTCTGTTAAACCCTATAGGGTTGGTAGGTTATTGTTTATATTACAGTGGTTCCCAAACTTTTTGGCACCTCACCCCCTTTTTGATTTTTGAGAGACCCTCACGTCCCTCCCCCCAAAATAGCAGCAAAACTTGTTGAGCAAAAGAAAAAAAGTTGCCCTTTTAAGAGCAGAGCAGACATTGCCCTTTTAAGGTGGCCATTTTGAAGTCTGCCAGGGACATTCCATCCTCCTCCCGCCCCAGGTAGCCTGAGCTGCATGGACTGGACACTTTTTTGGGGGGCGGGATTGACGGGGGGGGGGGAAGCTGGGGCACCCCCTGGAATTTCTTCATGCTCCCCCTCCAGGGGCTGCACCCCCCAGTTTGGGAACCTGTGGTTTATAACAAGGGTGGGTAACCTTTTTTGGGTCAGGAGCCACTGATCCCCAGAAATATCAGTTGGGGGCTGTAAACAAGTCAGAAACAAACAAACAAAAAACCCCAGCCCCTCATCATTTTGGGCTCCCCAGTGCTGGGGTTAGCCCCGAGTTTCAGGGGCTAGATCCAGACAAACTGGGGACTGCATCTGCCCCCCCCCCCCAGGCCTTAAGCTCCCCACCCCCAGTTTACAACTTAATTACATTACTGCACAACCCTTTCCTTTGAATCCCAATAGCATTCTAAAGGATGTTTCCGTAAGAGAAATCGTATGAAGATTGCTGAGTTTCCAAAAGCATCCTATGGGGGTAAAGACTGTCTTTACTCTTGTACGGTACGTCTAAACTACATGCCTCCATCGATGGAGGCATGTACATTAGTTTATTCGAAAAAGGGAAATGAAGCGGTGATTTAAATAATCGCCGCTTCATTTAAATTTAAAGGCTGCTGCGCTGAGCCGACAAACAGCTGATCGGCTGTTTGTCGGCAGATCGGGGCAGTCTGGACGCGCCGCGGTCGACAAGGAAGCCTTTGTCAATCGGCGCAGGTAAACCTGGTTTCACGAGGCATACCTGCGCCGGTCGACAAAGGCTTCCTTGTTGACAGCGGCGCGTCCCGACCGGCCC